AAAAAAAAAAAAAAAAAACCTGGTTAGCCAGCTGTAAAACATTTGCAGTCAACAAAAAGTAGTTAGCCATTTGTTGCAGGTTAACTATTGCTGAGCTTTCCTTCCTCAATTTATCCAATTGCTGCTGGCCTACTCATGTCTCATATTCCTCCACTGTTTCATCATTAAGCATAAAAGAAGGAAGTAATTCCCACTTTCCCAAATCATGATGTTTTGGATGCTCTGTCATCTAACCAGAAGAGTAAAAGATAAATAGGGTTAAAAGAAAAAGACCTAGGACCAGTCACAATGGCTCATGCCTGTAATCCCAATACTTTGGGAGGTGGAAACGAGAGGATTGCCTGATTCCAGGGATTCGAAACCAGCCTGGGCAACTTGGTGAGCCCTCGTCTCTACAATTAAAAAAAAAAAATCAGCCAGTTATGGTGGCACGTGCCTGTAATTCCAGCTACTTGGAAGGCTGAGGTGGAAGGATCCACCTGAGCTCAGCAGGTTGAGGCTGCAGTGGCTATGATCCTGCCACTGCACTCCAGCCTGGGCAAAAGAGTAAGATCCAACTCAAACAAGAAGAAAAGATCCAGGCATTATAGCTAGAAGATAGGGCATATCTGGAATATTCTATGCACAGTAGCCCAGTATCACTCAACTGTAGGTAGGAACAGCACAGTCAGAAGTTAAAGAACAACAAATGAATTACTGAATCACCCTTAAGGTGCAGGCTGAGCAGGAGATACCTGGTTGTTTGCCAAATGATGGATTGTGGAGATGGAGGAATTCTATTTTGTTGTTGTTGTCAGAGTCTCTCCATAACCCAGGCTAAAGTGCAGTGGCATACTCACAGCCACCACAGCCTCAACCTGCTGGATTCAGGGGATTCTTCTGCCTAAGCCTTCTAGGTAGCTGGAACCACAGGCATGCACCACCACACCCAGCCAATTTTTAAATTTATTGTAGAGATGAGGTCTCACCAAGTTGCCCAGGCTAGTCTCAAACCCGCAGGCTCAGGCAGTCCACTCACCTCAGCCTCCCAAAGCGTGGGATTACAGGCTGAGCCACTGAGCCAGCTAGGAAATCCTTTAAACAGACTGCTTGACAATTATTTTCAGCCTCTGTGTGAACATATTACAGAGAGCTCACAAATTCATTTGCGCATCTATCACACGATTAGAAAGCTCCTTTATCGGGGTGGGGAGAAAAGTGAGTTATTTCTTTTTTTTTTTTTTGAGTTGGAGTTTCACTCTGTCTCCCAGGCTGGAGTGCCAGTCGCCCAGACTGGAATGCCGCTCCCGGCCACCGCAGCCTCGACCTGCTGGGCTCCGGCGATCCTTCTGCCTCAGCCTTCCGAGTAGCGGGAATTACAGGCGCATGCTACCACGCCTAGCTGATTTTCGATTTATTGTAGATATGAGGTCTCACCAAGTTGCCCAGTCGGGTCTCGAACCTGCTGGCTCAGGCAATCCACTCATCTCGGCCTCCCAAAGCGCGGTATTACAGGCTGAGCCACCGATCCCGGCCTGTGAGTTTATTTCTGTAACCAGGTTACAGGGAGATGGGTTGGCATCATTACCCCCCAAAAAATGCTTCAGAAAGCTCCTTTATATTGTGCTGAAAGTACCTTCTTGTAGCTTCCACCCTGAGGTACCACAGAACTCATGCAAGGGGCAACCCTTCAATCCTAAGAACTGGACAGGATCAGGGGAGACAGAAAGCTACTGGCACCGTCACTATTTTAAATGAGATTACTTAAAATCAATTCCTTTTTTTTTTTTTTGAGTTGGAGTCTCACTCAGTCGCCCAGACTGGAGTGCAGTGGCCGTTCCCGGCCACCGCAGCCTCGAACTGCTGGGCTCCAGCGATCC